TATTTAGTACTAAAAACTAGAACGTTCCTTCTATCTTCCCATTTCAGAACAAAACCTGTATTAACCTCGGCTGCGCCAACTTTGTGCTTCTTTAACTTTTTCGATAAAATATCTTTGGGGTTGAGCTTTCTATTTGTACGCAGTATTCCTACCAAGTGCGTCTTCTGGTTTATGAGTGTATCAGCTAGTACAACACTCGTACACTAACTGTCAGTATGGAGTGTTCTCCCCTGGTCAAGCACACTTTTTAGGATTGTAAGTACTACTCCACTTGCCACCGATGAGGGGTTTTATCTTATGAAGCCGATGTACTGCGACAGCTTAGTTCTTATTAAAATGAATCATTTGAAGCAAGAGCTGAAATCTACTTCTGCTCATCATCGATTTTATCCTTTACTTCACTTAATCAGTAGATCCATTTGTACCTTTCGGTGTTGGGCCGTTTATAATACAATTCTTTATATTACAATATTTTACAATCTTCGGATATGTACTTATGTTTTGTAGACTTTGAAAAAGCATTTGATAAAGTTCAACATAAAAAGCTTGTAGATATATTAAAAAGCAAAAATATTGACAGTCGTGATCTGAAAATTATATCTAATTTATATTGGAATCAAACTGCCAAGGTAAGAGTTGACAGCCAGTACACCTAAAATATCAAAATACAGAGAGGAGTCCGCCAGGGTTGCGTGCTGTCCCCACTACTTTTCAATGTCTACAGTGAAGCGGTATTTCAAGAAGCGCTCTCTAGACTCAATAGAAGGTATATCTATCAATGGAGAAGTTTTGAATAACTTACGTTTTGCAGACGATACAGTAATAATTACGGATAACAACAATGATTTACAGAACGTAATGCAACGCCTTAATGAACGCTGTCATGAGTACGGACTGAAGATAAATTTAAAGAAAACTAAATGCATGATCATGACTAAATCTGCACATGCAAATATCCAATTGACTATTGAAGATACTGCAATTGAGAGTGTTAATAACTATAAATACTTAGGAACATGGATAACATCAGATGTAGACCAAACCAAAGAAATTAAGACACGTATTGAAATAGCACGTACATCATTTATTAAACTTAAAAAGTTTCTTTGTTGTCGGGATATAAGGTTAGAACTACGCCTGAGAATGCTTCGATGTTACGTGTTCTCTACTCTTCTTTATGGTCTGGAAGCTTGGACACTAAAACAAGTTCATATGAATAAGTTGGCCGCCTTTGAATTTTGGTGTTACAGAAGAATCCTACGAATATCATGGACTCAAAGAATGTCAAACATGGAAGTAACTAGAAGGATAGGAAATGAGGCGGAAATAATATTAACTATTAAAAGACGAAAACTTGAGTACTTGGGACATGTGATGAGAGGGCAAAAATACGCATTATTACAACTTATTATGCAGGGCAAAATCCGAGGAAAGCGAAATGTGGGAAGACGAAGAATATCCTGGCTTAAGAACTTGAGGGAATGGTTTGAATGCAGTAGTGCAGAACTTTTTAGAGCGGCAGTCAACAGAGTCCGCATAGCCATGATGATTTCCAACCTTCGATAGAAGATGGAACTTAAAGAAGAAGAATTGTTTGTGAGATGGAACTGGTACAATTATTGCCTAAGTTACTAGCACAATCTTCATTAGAAGTCGATGCTGTGCTCGTAGTTGGTAGAGAAATATCTGTAAAAATCATTGGTTATTGTCATTAGAATAGGTAAACCATCTGTTTTAAAATAATAATTTAAAGATGTGTAGTAGGCACTAGCATAATTTGCAAGATAGGAATATTCGTCAGGTTTGTAAGTAAAATCAGTAAAGTATTCACACTTACCTTAAGCTGATATCCTACCAGCTGTAATTTTTTTGCGGTTGGGTTTATTCACAGTTTCAACGGACGAGTCATTATGATCGCTTTCGAAAGCTTCCATAGAATAGTGGTCCAATAAGTGTACATCTACAAAAACATATTTTTCAACATGTTTGCAACATTTCTTGCATCAGTTTATGTAATTTTCTCGTACGCCATTTTTTTATCACAAAAGCAGTAATTTATCAAGCAAACTCTACTTTTTACGAAAACAACACACCGCAAGTAATGATAACGTACAATGAAACCTCAATACTCCGGGAGTATTGGATTTTAGGAAGTGTAAGACTTCCAAATTCCAGAAGAATGGAAGAGAGGTGATAAAAATACTAAAAATATGGCAAGGTCAGAGGAACAAATTTAAATGGCCAAAGAGACACTAAATCTCAAGTGAGTGTTCGGGCTAGCTTCAATGCACTGAATTGTGGCTTTAAAGATACAAAGCAGATAGCAAGGATAATGAGCTAATGAGACAAGAAACGAAATGAGACCTGTTAATATCAAATGTGATACAATTAAGAAGGTCACTGCGAATAAATTTATTATAAAAGGACAATAAGAAGAGAAAAAGAAGGGCGCCAACTCAACGATAGTTGAGATTTTGAAGTAACAAATGATTGGAAACAAATGATTCTGGAGATAATAACCTGAAATACAAAATACTAAATACTAATCTTGTTTTGATATATTATATACTGGTTAGTAGAACTGAAATAAAACTCAAAATAGTAACAATAAATATATTTATAAAAATGTGTATATCGATATATTTATATGTATTAACAATTTACATATAATGCAAAACTAACAGTGGTAGTGGGTGTGTAAAGATACAATAGGACCAAATAGCCCCTCAACAAGCAAACAGTCACTACCACTGGCCAAATGAAGTTTAAAATATTAGTAACACCAAGAATAGTCCGTATGGTAGCCAAAGTGTTAACACAAAGGTAGTAATTTAAATTTAACTAGTTCGACTAAAATGAGATACAAATTACAATATTGTAAAGATATCAAAAGTGATAAATCTGTTACAAGTATATTAATATATATTACATCCAAAAAGTGAGTCTTCAATACTCCTTATACAATGTTTTAAAAACCACATGAAATTTATTCCCCCCCCCAATATCAAAATTGTATTATCTCAAAATATATTGTATTACAAAATATTATATAAAAAAAAGTGACTTTGGTCAGTACTCTTGAAATCCTAGTTAAAATCCCAATTTATTTCCCTCCCCAATATTTTAGAATTATATTATATCAAAATTGTCTTCACCTGATCATATGCATATGAAAAGTGTACAAAATAGACAGTAACAAAAAAATTACACAGTCAAACAACTTATCTTTACAGCACTATAAGTCCATAGGAAAACTCCTCTTGGCAAGGCTAAATCAGTTTGTTGCTGTAAAGGACAAATCCCAGGTGAGTCTGGGCATAAAACCAGTCACTGGTCTATCTGGAGTGACGGCAAAATCCAGGAGAGTTGCTAACTATTTAAGAAATTCTGTTACTATTCCTTGAGGGAATATTCTTAAGAGAATACTCTCAAGTGAAGTGACGGAATCTAAAAGAATTATCAGATTTAATTACTATTTGATTTAATACGTGTAGCAGCATAGATTGACTGCACCAAAACAAAAACATTAAAACATTAGGTTATGTCAACATGTCAAAATTTCCGAAGTTCATTTCGTAGACATGACAGGCTTGCGCCATGAAATGAACACGCGCAGAACACAGAAGGCTGTAGAAACCTTGTATATTCCACCAAAAATAGTTAGAGAAAAAAAACCAAAAAACTTACTGATAAGATATGGAATAGATCGGAATTTAAGTTTGACTATATAAAAAATGACCTTATGTTCTTTGCAAGTAAATCAAGGAAATTTTATATTTAAATTATTTCGGAACTCAAAAATTAAATCTCTAAAGAAATACTTAACTGCAATGATAAATTTGATTGTATGATAAAGAGATAATACGTATGAAATGATTTACTTACATGGAGCCGCAGCACGCCAAAAAATCTTCCTTTTTATGTGGAACTCTTATAAATGAATATTGATTTTAATAAATTAATTATTATTATTAGTATTTATGAATTATTTTATTCTTCCCCCAAATTATCTTCCTTGTTACAATTCCGTCACATTGAAGGTGAAAAAATTTCACCGGTTGGCGTGTCTGCGTTTACGAGTTCTGACCAAAACTAACCGCTTCCGCACAGACTCGACCAATCTTCCTGTCAAAGCGACTCCTGCGCGTGTGTGGAAAAATGTCGATTTAAAATCGATCGCAGGCGGGTTATAAGAAATTTCTTGAGGGGGTTAATCAGTAGCGTAAACGCTACAACAACCTTCTGCCAAAATTTTCAAGTTGTGACTAGTTCCAGCCTGAACCAAATGCCGGACACGTGATTTACAGTTTGCTTACAGAGTTGCCAGGGATGGATCCACGTTAAATACACGCGGCCACAATAATAAAATAGGCTTATTGCGGTTGCCTGTATACAATGCGGATAAATACTAAAACTGACATCATACAACAACCAAATCGTGTTTTTACAGGTTTTTCTTAAACTGGCATACTAAGACCGTGTTTTATATTTATTTCTTCATTTTGACAACTTCGGCCTGCGGAACTCTAATTTTGTGTTACCATGGTAGCACTCAATATGTTAAAAAAGTCTTTATCGTTACAAAAATCAAAATGTTCAATTCTGCGTCACATATTATTCTTGCACTAAGTTTATAAACATTAAATATCATATTGATCATACTCTCCGATTTCATTAAATGTGACTTGTCACAATAGTTTTTATATAGATAGATATGATTTTTCCTTGTAAAAAGTTTTAAAAATGTACGTAACGTAAAAAAAATCATCATCTAATGTATAATTGTTTCAGAATTTGTAAATTAATTAAAAATAATTTTTCAAAACTTATTTGGATCATCGTCAATAGCTGTGATATCTGCTGAACATTTCTTGCCTTAATTGTTGAGTGTAAAAAATTTAAGACATAAAAACTGAGTGCCTTTCTTACTACCGGGCTAAAAAATCCAAATCAGAGAAAAAATACCAAAAGTTATGTTTTATAAAAGTTTATCCTAAAAAATGGTGGAGTCTAACGCGTGCAGCAGCAAATGCAGTCGTAACTCTGTGTGTAACGGCGAGACACCAGAAAAAACTCTTATGTCAAAACGTCGACGCCATAAGACGGTTCATTTCGGCGACAATCTTTTATTACAAGTGTGTGCGAACGCGAATTTGACTTCACACGTTTCATATACGAAAATGGAACCCAATGTCCAGCAACTATTCAGCTTCATCGAAACTGTGTTAAGCGCCTGGGTTGCAGAAGAAGGCTTGACATCACAGGGGGAGGTCAGCGAAATGGACGAGAAAGAAATGCAAAGAAGAAGGTATAAAAAACATTGTGCAAAAGTAAAAAAGTTGGATATTCGAAGACTTGTTATGGAAGTGGCCAAACTAGATGGGTCCAGGTTTCTTGGTAACTTGAGGTATAGGCATATGCATTGGAAAGGAAATCCAGACGCAGAGGGATGCAATGAACTATTTTTAAGAAAGGTAAGGTCCTATTTATTCTAACTTGATCCCGATTTTTAAAATATATATTGTATAGTTTTATTTGAATAATAATTACTTATATATCATCTATATATTTCTGTTACCATTATAAGTATTTTAGACAAAATTTTTACGATAGCCCACTCTTATTTCTTACTAAGCAATATAACTTTAGCAGGATTTTTTTTTAATTCACATGGCTATTTAAACTGCTAAGCATAAAATTAAGGTCACCCCATAATTTGAATTTATTTTGGAAATTATTATTCTTTTTTACTTCCCTTTGCAGTGGAATTTTCTTTCGTTGCCTGGAAATATTATTGCGATAAATCAGAATTATCTAGTTGATTTCTAAAATGCGATTATCTCGAAAACTGTTGAGTTTTGAAGATAATAACAAGTATACCTTTTTTCTGTTAAAATAATGTATCTTTAATATTTTTTATTAAAAATACCGGTAACTTGAAGAGCAAAAAAGTTAAGTGCAAATATATGCCACATATGTGGCATATGTGGCGCCCTTTATCAGCTACATCAAAGTATACACTAAATTATAATTTCTAATATTTAGTAGTTCCCAGTTGCAAATTTTATACATAAATATTGACAAACATGAAAGTTATAGCGAAAAATAAAATTTTAAATTTCCACTTGAACACCCTGCATCTTTCTTAATATCAACATTTTATTAAAGCAACTTGACTTAAATCGTAATATTTTAAAGTTTGGAATCTAGGGTTTCTTTTTGTACAATTACTTAAGGACCACCCTGTATATATATATACAGGGTGATTGATTAGTGTGAGGAAGCTCAGTAGATCTGTTATAGTAAAAATTACAAAAAAAAGTTATTAACAAAAATTGTAGGCAGCTTTAAACTCCATATTTTAATATTAGTTACAATCCTACAGGGTGTTCCATAAGATGGTGGCAGACCAAACTTATGTTTTTTTAAATGAAACACCCTGTATTTTATTTTAAATTTGAAATCTGCTTCACTATCACATTACAACAATGTAAAGTTTTATTATGTTATACCGGGTATTTAAAAAGTTATAACAAATATTTCCTGATAAATCGTATCAAGTTTAACTCTCTGTATAATTAAAAAGGATTGTAGGAACATTGATCTATTGCAACCATAGTTTTTTAATAATTGTTAAAAACTATAAAACATATTCATTTTCATAATATTCGTTAAATCAAATACAGGGTAAGTCAAAATGCAAGTACATTATTTTCTTGATAATTTTAAATAAAACACCCTATATTTTATATCACTATAGAAAAGAACTAATATCGTACTTCATATTTTATAAAGTACTCCCTATACCTAAAGTTATTAGTTTTAAAGATATTTTTATTTTTCTATCAAACTATTAATTTGGTAGATATTTTAACGTTTACCAATAATTATTGTGAGTTGGCCATGATTGATTTGTCAGAAACTGACAGTTTGACATTAATATTTATTAATTCAGTATTGGGGTACACCGTAAATTAGCAACAATTATTATTTAGTAATTCAGTAATTGATTCAATTTAAATTAGCAATAATGAATTTTACTACTGATGAAATGGTAGATATGATCTGGATATTGGGGGAATACAATAAAAATTCATTACTATCAGCTAGAATTTATTAAGAACGGTTTCCAGATAGGCGACAACCTAGACAAGATACATTTGAAAATTGAAAGATCGATTTAACCGCACTGGTTCAGTGAATTATGAAAAACATGAACGAACAAAAACTAGTGTGACAGAGGAAAACGAAATGAGTGTGTTGATGGCGGTTACAGAAAACCCACACACAAGCATAAGGACTATTTCCAATGAACAAGAACTTAGTTACTACTCTGTTCAAAACATTCTATCTAAAAACAAGATGCACCCTTATCATATTCAAAAGCACCAAGAATTAATTAATGATGATTTTCAGAAACGAATAGTATTTTGTGAATGGGCCTTAGAAAAAATTAATGAGCAGAGAGATTTTTTTGATTATTTCCTATTTGGTGATGAAGCTACATTCCATCGAAACGGTTCTTTTAATAGGCATAACTTTCACTACTACTCAACAAGTAATCCATACCACATAGTAACACATAGTCAAACAAGATGGTCTCTAAATGTGTGGGGAGGTATCGTCGGTAACCATGTAGTAGGACCATATTTTGTTGAAGATAATTTAAATGGTGAGATTTATTTAGATTTTATCGTAAATCAGTTACCGATATTACTAGAAGAGGTTCCACTTAATATACGTGAAAAAATGTGGTTTCTACATGACGGTGCTCCTGCGCACCACAACGAATTAGTACGTGGTGAACTTAATAATCAGTTTGGGGAAAGATGGATCGGAAGGGATGGACCGGTAATGTGGCTCCCAAGGTAACCAGAATTCAATAAAATGGACTCATTTTTTTGGGGTTACGTAAGAACGAAGTATATAAAATATCCCCAACAACAAGGGATGATATGAAAAATAGAATCCGAATTGCATTTCAAAATATTTCTTTACAAATGCTTAGTAATGTAACCAACTCTTTCAATGACCGTTTTCAAGCATGCATAGATGTTTTGGGAGGTCATTTTGAACACCTTACTTAAGTAAGATAAGTTACACTTACTGTTGTTTTTAATTTTTCTATGTGTTGTTATATTTTTTTTTATTTTCCGTCGGTTATTTTTTATAAATTTTATTTTAAATAAATTGTTTTTTTTTCTGTGTCGTTATTTCGTTACTAAATTATTAAACAATAATGTCAAACTGTCAGTTTTTGACAAATCAATCATAACCAACTCCCAATAATTATATTGTGAGTTAGTAAACGTTAAAATATCTGCCAAATTAATACTTTGATGGAAAAACAATAATATCTAGAAAACTGATAACTTTAGGTATAGGGAGTACTTTATAAAATTTGAAGTACGATATTATTACTTTTTGATAGTGATATAAAATACAGGGTGTTTCATTTAAAATTACCAAGAAAATAATGTATTTGCATTTTGACTTACCCTGTATTTGATTTAACGAATATTATGGAAACGAATATGTTTTATAATTTCTAACAATTATTTAAAAACTATGGTTGCAATAGATCAATGTTCCTGTTCTCCTTTTTAATTGCACAGGGAGTTAAACTTGATACGATTTTCAGGTAATATTGGTTATAACTTTTTAGATACCCGGTATAACATAATAAAACTTTACATTGTTGTGATGTGGAAGTGAAGCCGATTTTAAATTTAAAATAAAATACAGGATGTTCCATTTAAAAAAAACATAAGTTTGGTCTACCACCATCTTATGGAACACCTGTAAGATTGTAACTACTTTTAAAATGTGGAGTTTAAAGCTGCCTACAATTTTTGTTAATAACTTTTTTTAGTAATTTTTACTATAAACAGATCTACTGAGCTTCCTCACACTAATCAATCAATGTATATAAGGAGTTTCATCTGGTCTACATGATATTATATTGTTCTGAAGCTATTTTCTTGTTACATTTTAAATTAATTACTATTTATAACTGGGAATAAGCCACAATTAAAGATAAAAAATACGTTTATTGACGTTTCAATTTCCAATTCGGAAATCGTTCTCAAAATACAAACAGTAAATTAAACAAATTTTGTTTTTTTTTACATAGTGAAAAAATTCTAATAATTTAATTTTATCTGACTCATTTATAATGACAATTCAGACATACATTATGCATTTTAAAGTAGACGACTTTAAAATGATATTGCCAATATTGTCGAGTTGCGCTCCTGGGACGACTTTACTTATAAGATAGTTCATTCGATTACATGAAATCAACTTTAACTTGAGAATATCCGTCATAAAAAAATCATAGCATGTAATTCGTCTTTAAAAAGACAAAACACATGACATGATGACAGTAAAAATTCTCCTGTTAGTGATTCCATAGTAAATTATGAGGGAAAAACCAGGAAAAAAACCTCATAATATCATAATGTCGGGATAGTATTATGAGGTTTTTTTCCTGGTTTTTCCCTCATAATTTACTATGGAATCACTAACAGGAGAATTTTTACTGTCATCATGTCATGTTGTTTGTCTTTTTAAAGACGAATTACATGCTATGATTTTTTTCTGACGGATATTCTCAAGTTAAAGTTGGTTTCATGTAATCGAATGAACTATCTTATAAGTAAAGTCGTCCCAGGAGCGCAACTCAACAATATTGGCAATATCATTTTAAAGTCGTCTACTTTAAAATGCATAATGTATGTCTGAATTGTCAATATAAATGAGTCAGATAAAATTAAATTATTAGAAGAATTTTTTCACTATGTAACAAAAAACAAAATTTGTTTAATTTACTGTTTGTATTTTGAGAACGATTTCCGAATTGGAAATTGAAACGTCAATAAACGTATTTTTTATCTTTAATTGTGGCTTATTTCCAGTTATAAATAGTAATTACATGATATTATATTTACTACTAACTTGCAAACTTACTAGAACCAAATTAGTAGCAGGTAACAGGTAATCTATTCGTCGTTTGAGGATTTTCTCTGTAGGAGTTAGAGGCGGCTCAACCGAGAGCTTCTCGTTAAGTAATTATTAATAAAGTATTTAAAACAATACAACGTGCAGATATCTATTAATTATGTATGGAATTATGTATGTTGTTTTAATTGACTTCCTTAACAATTTTTTCTTTGTTGCAGGTAAGAAATAAAGTATTATTTCGAAATTTTTTAATTTCTACAATGTAAGTATTATCTATGTATTTTTAAATATAAATAATTATTAATTCCTAAAGGTGCCAACATGTTTAATAAACTTAAAATTACCTATTTTATTTTGTGTTTAGTTTATGTAATGCGTACTAAGGGAACTAGAGCTCTTTAAAGATGGCGGTTTGTAATTACTTTTTTTTAAATACCTTCAGGACGTTTCTATTTAGACAAATGAAAACTGGTACGATTATTTATTCTCTAGAGTTGAATTGATTTCATCA